TGTTGTTTATAAAGTAAACGTGAAGTCGCAAGGTATCTGACTTTATGAATTTACCCTACCATCCATCCATTCGAAGATAAAATGCTATGTTTTCCTCTCTAGTAAAATTGTTATTAGAATACCAAAATTTTGAAAATATATATGAAAAGTGGAACGTTACTGCTGGTACTTTACTAGAATAGCTCTAACCTTTTCAGTTCAATTCAGTTCCAGTTTTTTAATTGCTCATCGTCTAGCAATGGAATTTATTTTGTAAGAAAATATTTATCTTTTGTTGATTAATATATAGCTAGCTCTAAACAAAATCGATTAAATATAAAAATATTATAAAAATTTTTGAAAATTTTATTATTTTCTGAAACGTCAGCAACTAAACTTAAAGGCCGAAAAACTCTATTGGCCAACTCGTCTAGCATCTCAATTTTTATATATAAGACGGTGTGTCCTCCAACCCATTTGGATTTATGGCTTACGAATTGTGAGTGGACAGCCAGTAACTCTAATATTGAAGTTCCTAAAAAAGATCAATCGAAGCCTCTCCGTCCCGTGGCTCATTAGCAATAAAACTATTCATGATTAACTGGATTTTCCATTTATTGAAAATCAAATGTAATGCATTTCTGCAATATATATATATATTGTTAGACTGAGTAATCATGTAAATCCCTTAACAATATCTCTTCTGATTGAATTCATTGAAATAGGAAGGAATAAGACGACATCATATAATGAATCTTTCATTTCGAAATTTATTTATTTTTATCCCTTAAATTATTTTAATGAATTTTTCAAGTTTACATAAATTATTTTTCTATTTATTTGAACATCATATCTATGTTGTTATATTGTTGCCATTGGGGGATAGTAACCTTTGTTATTTTCGTCACATTGCCATAAAATTTGTTTAGTATCTTTTTGGATAGATTGTAAAGTAATAATGTAATAAAAACAAGTAAGAATATTATGTTCGGTTGTGAACGATTCTTTTATACCTATCAGCGTTAACTTAAGGTCCTGCAACGCCTGTTTTGATTCATTTTGAAGAGCTTCCAAAAGTTTCCGACAAATTTGAAAAAGATAGCTTCAGATTTGTGGGCACTAGAACAGCAGACATTACATAGACGGACAGACAGAATGGCTAAAATCGTCTCAGAACGTTATCCTAATCGAAGATGTACATACTTTATGGGGTCTCTGAAGCTTCCTTCTGCGCATTGCAGGCGCTCTGACAACAAGGACATAACTTCATCTTCCAATGGTGGGCATGGACGTTAGATTGAAACTATTGAAACTACCTCTTAATTAGAGAATAGACAAAGCAGAATTGGTTATTCTTATGATAACTAGCTAACTTCCACGATGCAAGAAACATGTTTGCCTGCACCTTTGATTGAAGGACATAGCCAAATTTTCAGCGGAATGATTGACAAGAGGTGTTTTAAGCAACCCGTGGAGTTCAGGTGTTGGAAATTTCTTCGGTACATTGTGAACAATTCTGAGATACTCATTTTGAATGCTGGTTATGAACTCAAATGCCAAGTGTTGTAGGGTTTTCAACACAAGCGAATACCCTAAGACTTTAGTCTTGGAAGTTTTTCCTCTGGCTCGAACTAATTATAATAAAAAAAGTGGTTTTGAATGCATTTAAAGGGCTTACCATGGAACATCGGTGCAATCATCTCCAATCTTTTTGTTTATTCCATTGTTAAACTTGCAAGTGAACATAAGTAATCGAAAATATTTGACTTATATAACCTGCAGTAAGTGCAAATCTATAATTGGTATAAACATTCTTTGTAGGTTTTTTTTTAAATTTTTTCGACTTGTTCCAAATGATTTGCAATTGTTCCTCCCACCCGCATTTATGTAAAACATTTAACATACAATTGGGTAATAAAGAAAACATTTAGTTGGTCCTTCAAAGCTTATATTGTGTACAATAATATCATAGGCAAACATACACAAATATTTTGAACAAGCCGAAGGCCGGCGCCACATGCTACACACTTTTTGTGCTGGCGAAGCAAACAATAGAAAATTTTAATATTAAATATTCGATTGTAAAAAAAAAAAAAAAAAAAATTGTATTTCTAGAATTTACAGTAATGTGAACAGATGAAAAGGACTTCTTTTAACGAATAATTTTTTAAACATTCTATTACAGATCTTACACATGCACATCGCAAGCATTGAAAAACTACCGCTTACAACTACTGGTTCCCCTTTGCTCATACGTTGCAAGACGTTTCTCTCCGTTACTTTCGTAATACCCAAAGATTCGGAATGTCACGATGTCTACATGTCTTTAGTTAAACTTTATCAACCAGGTGAGTTTTCTTCAAATGATTTTATATTCTTCCCCTTTCTATACCGAAGTGCAGAGTACAGAGATGCTATATTCAGCTGCCCACTGGCTCGAATCACTACAACGTTCATAAATGTTGCCAAAAAGTAGAAAAGAATAAAAAGCTTCAATTCAATTCGGAACATTGAAATATTGTCATTACATTTAGTCTTGGCCAATACCTTTTTACTCCCTATGACTGCTATCAATATTTAATTGCGTAAAAAATTTTCAAGTAAAAGCGATATCTCATGTATCGATATGCGGTTTTATCGTTCGATTGTCATCGCAAGCACATTAAAAGCAAGCCATGCGTTATTGATGGATCTTTTAAGTGATAAATAAAGGAATCGAGATATTTGTTGAACTATGCACAGGGTGTGTTCTAGGGTGTTTTATTTCTGTTGGACAAAATCCAATCACACTCCCTACGTCAACTATATATTGCATCTCGTATGTCGTCTATTAATTAAAATTATTTTGATAACTGCGAGCTTTCCCTTCGATTCACTGACCTGACATCAAGCTTTTTTGTCGTTGCCCGCACATCCTTGATTTAGAAATGTATATCATGATTCCGGCCATAGTTTCATGTCTTTATGAATATTCAATTTCGATCGTTTGCAAATTCAATCTTTTAAGAAACTCAAAGGAAGCAATTTGCAAATAAATCAAATATAGATAAAGATAGTCTGGTCCACAAACTGATTGATTCCGTTTTATTGTCTTTCAGTTTCTATTAATAAATTATATTGCTTCAACTATCAACCTGTTAAAGATGATTTGCCGAAATCCGCTGGTTGGGATTTTTTTAAACTAGAACATGAGTTCAAGCGTATGCGTGTACCGAATGATATTTGGACCCTCTGCAGTTTGAATGCCAACTACGAATTGTGCGACACGTACCCACGTCAAATTTATGTGCCACAAGAAGCTAATACCGCTATGTTGATTGGAAGTTCACGTTTTCGTTCAAAGGGTCGATTACCTGCTTTAACTTATTTGCATTCTAATAAGGTAAGTGAAAGAAAACAGAGAAATATTCGAAAAGAAAGAAACGTGCTTATTACTATTATTATGCCTATGATTAATATGCTATGCATATGGCTTAAAAAGTCAAGTGTACGCTCAGAATTTATTGGCAAAAATTTTATGAATGTTGTGCTTATCATCAATATTGGACTTGTATTTTACTTTACATTTAAAATCATACAGATATTTTAGGTTTTGAAATCAAGATGTGTACCATATATCGAATCTCTAATGCCTATGTTTTTATAGCCATCACCGAAGGATATATTATAGAGTATGAAAATGTATTTATTTTCCTTTGTTAAGCTTTTTTTAAGATAACGGTGATGGATATAAAAGATTCGGTCACAACTATACCAATAAGAAAATTGTTATTGCATGCTTTTTAGAGAAAGGCAAACAAAAATTTGGATGCCTACTTTAAGAAACGCACTGTTATTTCTTACCCTTAATTAGAAAGTTATTTTTTCCAGAAAATAATGCTAATTTCATGTGGTTTTGATTTTATTTTTGAAAACGAAATTGCTTAGAAACAAGCGTTAAATCATCATCACATTGCCGTTCTCTCAGTTCAGGTCGCTTTCAATAGGTTACAAATATGCCCCTTTTTAAATTCACATGAAGCGTCAGTTATAAGATCATCTATTATATATAATCTATCTCGATTTTTTCCATTTGCAATGTATCCACTGAAGGATATTTCGTTAAGGGGGATCCTTTTTAAAATGTGAAACAAAAAAAAACAGCTCAACGTATCAAAGTACATTGTGCTTTATATTGATGGTTTGACATTGCAATCATGTTTCGAGCAAAATATCGTTCAAATGTCCATCACGACTTTGGATGCACACGATGACTCCAGTTGTTTATCACTTTTTCCAACATTAGATACGTTATGTCTGCAAGAGTCCGACTAATGTTCTGCACCAAAGTTTGCAAAGTTTGCTGCTTGTCGGCATAGACTTTAGGCTTTAATGTAGCCTCACAAAAAAAAAATCCATGACTGTTTACGCACACACAGCTGAGCTGTCACTTTGGTAAAATTTTTTATTGATTTTTCTTGAGCCGTTTAAAAACGTCGAAAGAGGAGCTAAGTAGTGATATTTCGGTATTTCAAATTGGTGTGAAAACTCGGCCTTGCCCCGACACAACGTCCTTACTTGTTAAAATTCAAAGTTATCTATTGAATGCATGCAAGTATCTGAAATGCTGATTAAAATGAAAATAAAATTATTGTAGTATTTTTTAAAGTCTTCTTCTTTGCTCTCGTGTCATTTAGAGTATTTTATTTCGAAAACTTCTAAAAGCTGTTTTGCATAAATCTTAAGAAAAAAAAAATTTCGAACCGTTTAAATTTGCAAATTATATTCAAAATTTTTTTTAGTTTTAAAACAAAATGTCACTATCATCAAAATTGTCGCAATGCAAATTAATGTTACGGAATTTCGTTCAAGGTGCCTTAAATACATGTAATAAAAGTACGTGGTCTCTTCCAAATTCGTGGATAGGTAAAAAGATTGAGCCATACCCCGACATCAAGATGATGCTGGAGGATAAATCGATAGAAGAAGAAAAAAATCCAGCACTCGCAGCTTGTTCTTACAAAAATGCCGATAGTAACGTATCTCCATATCTTATGTGCTGGAATGAAGGATGGGAAAGAGATTTACGCAATTCTAAAGTTGAAACAAATAAAAATAGGTGTAACAGGGAAAAAGAAGAGAGTAAGTTAGACTCCTGTAAGTCGATATACGACATTTTATCGGATTATAAGAAACTTCAAACAGCTCCACGCCTAGATGATGTGCACTACAAATCTAAGCGCAACCAACAAAACACATGGATTGAACGACAACTTGTCCAAAAGACAAACTTTTGCTGGGACTTTGTGAATACGGATAATTTACTGAAATTAATTAATGCCAAGCCGGATCCTGTAAAGACGGAAAAACCTACGGAAACTGCCTCTGCATATGATTCACAAAAAATGCAAAATTTACTTAAATCAAATGTGAAGTGCGTGCCTTTTACAATGAAAACAAAAGAGAAAAGTATGGATAGTAAAATTCCGGTACCTTGTTGTCCAAAAACTATAAAATATATCGCATGTCGTAAATGCACTAGAACATCGAATCATAATAGCAAGAGGGAGATATGTCCCACGCCGAGCTTCTCGGAATGCTGCGGAATGCGCTGGTTACCTACAACGACGAAAGACCTGCGCCGGCGTAAAACTGACGACTATGGTCTATGTGATACTACGAAACATTTGGCAATAAAGGACCGCTTCAAATTACCGCCACCTTATTCACCTCGCTATGTTTGGGATATAAGTAAATTGGGAGAAAGAAAAATTCAAGCTTATTAAATGTGAATGCGTTGCCTTCGAGGTATCCCTTATGAGGTGCCTTTGTGTGTAGGCGAAGCCGTTGTAATTAAGTTTCTATTGTAATTGTAATGCATAATGTAATGGCAATGGTAAATTTTTAAGGGCTCTTCACAAGCGCTTACCGATTACCATTACCATTGTGTGAGCACTACAAACATATAGATAGAGATTTATTTTAATTACAATAATTATGCGTATCTCTACTATAAGTCTGTGTAAGTCAATGCTTTTCGATTTGAAGAATAATGTCGTGAACGGATACATTTTGTTTTTTAATTAAAAAGAAAAAATTATAAGTGTTATAAAAAAAGTTTTGCTCTACTCTTTCAATATCGCTTGAAAAATAATTGAATGCTGCAAAGTAAATAGAATATCATGGTTCGAAATATATAAAATATCAGATGTATAGGCAGATTTTGATATATCTTCAAAACATTATAACTTTGCACTGCAACATTCGCACTCCCTGCCGCTTGACTTTTCTAAAGTTAAACGAGATCTGCAAGCATTGAATATTAATCAGGCAACCTATTGGTGAGGTACGTTACTTGGATACATTCTTGTTCTTAGTTCTGTATCCTCGTCTATTTTTAAACAAGTAACAACGCTATAGTGAGCCGACCGTTAAATACCCTACTGTCACTGATGTAACCAACTTTTCAAAATAAGGCGTTATATGGGAAGAGGTCGAAAATATGCTTCGACCTGAATCAGTTCCAATAGCGTTCGCGCTTGGACCAAAAAAAAAACATCCGAGTGTACTCAACTTCGTCAAAATATCTGAGGAATTGCACAAGATGATTTGGAGCCGCTCTGTTTAGTAATAGCTGGGTCTACCTCAAGTGCTTATATGTAAACAGTGGAGCGCTTCTTTCACAAACTCACTTTACTAAATCCTTGAAAGTGGTTACATATAGCCGTAATAATCCATTTACAAAATTCCTCATAGCCAAACTAGAAAATTTCGCCTATACGTCAAGTCAATCCAATGTGGAAATATCTTCCAAATGGACAAAAATAAGCAAATGGAATTGAAAATTATCTTGCAGAAATTTTTGAAATTTAGTATTAGGGTATAAATCGGCCTTGCCAAAGTACACGAGTTTGTGACTCCACACTGGACTTATCTTTGTTATCTATTTACACATACATATAAGAGAAGTCTATATGAAAATAGCTTTCAAACGGACTAATAATTCTACAGCGTCGTCTTTTCTTTTATCTAATTTATTTAGCAAAACTTTCGCATTTCTTCACACCGAGTGCTTTCTCTATATAAATAGTGGAATAAAACCGGTTTTTGGTTTGTAATTAACAATTTTTTTAAACATAATTATGTCTTTCGTATATCACAACAAATTGTAAAAGGTGAAGGGTCAGTTTACAATAAATGAATGCATTGAATGCACAACATTCGCTCTCTGTACATCTGTGACAGGCGAAAGCACATTTCAAAGCCTTACAAATAACAGTCCTTTTCCCTAAGCTGAAACTTTATATAAGATATGTGTATAGTTGATAGAACGTCACAGATTAAGTGCAACAAGAAGGTAGGAGAAGGGAGAAATGAAAAAATTTTCATTGGCACTCGTTAAATAAGTGAAATTAATATAAAATTAAGTGATATTTATATCAGCCAATGAGGGACATTTTAAAGTTTATAACCTCTTCTTGATCATAACCAGTAAACGAAAGGTAACGTTGCAAGATATAGTTAATATCCTACAGATTAAAAGATTAAAAATTGGCCATGAGAAAGTTATGGGCATCGTGTATATACACAGTGCACCAAAGACACCTTCCCACAAGCCAATGGCAACAGTAACAAAATTGCTTGAGTCTAAGTTCGTTTAATTACATCAGCAACTGTACTCTCCTACATGGGAAATATAAACTGTTACCAAATCTCAAAGAATGCTCTAGGGGAAGAGAATTAGATCACATGACCAATCTTTCTATTAAGAAAAGCCATCAAAATATTGAAAAAGATTCCGACTGATTGTATCACTCCTGCGGATGCCGGGATTGATAAAAAAAAAAGGCTTTTTGTTCCCTTGGTCTCGACAATTACTGCCCAGTGTACACTTTAAATTTACCAAAGTTATTGTTAGCGCAGGAGATTTCATTGCATAACCTCACTTTCTACATAAAGCTTCGTTGCAAAATATTAAAACAGAAAAAGTTGACTTTGCGAACATGTTGGATTACTTCTTCTCCCGAGAAGGTCTTTAAAGTCGCTTTATTTTCCACTTATTATGGGCACGACCTGGCTTAATCGGAATAACTTTCGTCCTGTAATCATTGATGAGCATATCGGCATCTTTTGACTTTAGAACATCTTGCTTAAAAACCAAATAATAATAGAGTGGTCTGTTTGTCGCACCCTACACGGAACGGCTAGCACAATGCAGTCGCCTCAAAAGTTTACAACTTATCTAGAATGATGCTAAGTTTTTGCTTTATGAGCGGAAGTAATCATTTCAAAAGCAAAGAAAAGCAATTAAACACATAATCTGGCAATGCCGACCGCTACATATCCTACATCACTAATGGAAATTTTCAATTATCTTCCTGCTAAATTAACAAACATTGTCTC